CATTGCCTACAGAAACCATCCCTGATTTGCTTGACCAGGAAAGGTCACAGTGGGTAGTGGACTTCTCAGTGCCCCCTCTTGAAAGTAGCAGCAGAAGGCCTTTTGGTGGGGCCAGGTGTGTGCAGCTGTGTTTAATGTATCAGATCTGCTTGCCGCTGCAACAGTCTCTCTCTCTCTCTCTCTCTCTTTCTGATGCCGGATACAAACCGCTGTGCAGAGTAATTGCCAAATGCTTACATCAATGCATAAATAAGACAAATAAATTTATTTACATTATTCATATTTTCTGTGCTTTCCTGCTCTTTTATTTATGCCTTAAACAACAGTTACAGTAAATATAACAATAAAAAAGAGTGCCTGCAGCAGGCCGGATGATGATCAAAAAGCTCTGATATAGAGCAATTCATGTTTCTTCTTTACAATCGCTAACGAATCTTAACTTGAGCCGTGTTACGTTCCCATGTGAGTGATAAGCAATGATTTATTAGGAAGTGTCACGAAATCGGAATGCCGTACAGTGAGAAATGAGTGAGTGGGAAACGCGTTCCCAGTTTCCCAGTCTCATTACTCAAAGATGCAGAGTCCCTTTTCCTAGCCTAATTTCACCAGAGATTTTCTTAAAGGCCCTTGCTTTACAACAGGAGGGGGAGGGGAATCAACAACCAAGGCTTGCAGAGAAATGCCTGACCCTGACATAGCCTTGCTGTCTGTTGTCTGTGCCATTATTATGAGGTACGGGGAGCCCTCACAAGGGCAACCCATGCTACTTACATGAACAATGTGATATGTGATCCAGGATGTTACAGATCTCAGCTTAGAATAACTTATTTTAAAGTTATTTATGTATGCATTTAGAGCTGTATCTGACATCATTGGTCCACTAGTGCTAGCAGATGGGTGGGTTTTAAATTGTGCAACAGAGGAACCCAATGCAACAGCTGCATTAGCAGGAACTCGCTGCACAACAAATTGTACAATCTATTGTGCAACCAAGTTGCCAGCAGCGGGCTTACTGCTAGCACAAAATCTGTTGCCTGCAGAACAGCGTTATCCCTGCATGACTTTAACTTAGTGGTACATTGAATACAATTCATAGTATTTTTTATATCTTGTTTTCATCCACAATGGAATTCAAGAAGTCATTTCCAGGGGGTCTCCGATTCACGTACTGACCAGACTGAATCTTGCTTAGCATCAAGCGTCGGTTTGTCCTCAGCATGCACACGGTCGCAATGGAATATTGAAGTGACCTGGCCCCCCTTGAAAATTTGGGGGGCCTAGGTCCCTGCCCCCACTAGATGGCACCCCTGCTTAGCATCATATGACCTGAGATCTGAAGATAAGAGAAACTAGGAGGACCTTGTCAGATTCTTTGTCCATCTGACCCCAAACCTGCCTACCCTAACAGCAGCAATTCAGGGTCTCCAGCAGAAATTGTTGCCCTGGTCCTTCTAACTGGCAATGCCAAGGAATGGGGCAATTTGCATGCAAAGGATGTGCTCTGTCGCTGAGTTATGATCCCTCTAAGCAATTCATAGAGGGCATATCTATCGATGACTATTAGCCACGATTGCTGAAGTGCATATGAGTGTGTGCCAGGGATGGTCACCAACTTGCATGGCTTTAAAGGTGGATCAGACAAATTTACAGAGGATAAGGCTATTGAAAACTGATAGCCATGATGGCTTTGCTCTTGTCTCCATGGTGAGAGGCAGTATGCTTCTGAATGGCAATTCCTGAGAACCGCAAGAGAGGAGAATGCACTTGTGCTCAAGTCCGGCTTGTGAGTTTCCTACATGCATCTGCGTGGCCACTGTGAGAACTGGGTGCTGGACTGGAAGGGTCTTTGGCCTGATCCAGCAAGACTCTTCTTATGCTCTTGCGCTGTGTGTCTCCATATGGAGGGGCTGTATGGCATATATAAAGAGAGAGGGAGGCAGAAACAGAGAGATACTGCTGCTGTTTGTCTGCTGATGTCCTGGTGTGGGGTTCCTTTGCCTTTAAGATTTGCTCAGGAGGGCAGATGTTCACAGGAGAGGCTCAGCTCACCATCATGATGATTGAAATCACAACCACTGAATTTTTGCCCACACACAGCTCTTAGAAGGCAAGTACGCCTGCTTTGTTTTGAATCTGGCAATCTTGTCTATCCCCAAGCTAAAGTGGGGACAGCCCCATGGCAGGAAGCTGGCAGAAGTGCATCTTTTCCTTCCATTTTCCTGATGAACTTCCGTGTGCCATTTTAGCCTTGCAAAACGCAGAGTTTCCCATTGGCAATGCCAGCTTCTCCTTCTCCAGAGAAAAGTTGACATGATGTTTCATTTAAGAAACTTGTCAGCGATGAGCAAAGAAAATTTCACAGCATCATGAAAGGGAACTGAAAGAAGAAATATTTTTTTAAAAAAGCTTGGTGGAGACTTATTGATTTTATATACTCCTGACCATGGGCATAGCCAGGGTTTGTGGTGGGGGTGCGCTTCATGTTGGGAGGAGGCAGAACCTCAGTTGGTTAAGTATTTTTTTTATTCACTTGATTTGGGGGGGGGGCAGCTGTCCCCCTTGTCCCCCCTCTCCACAGTTTACACAGAAAGAAAAACACTGCCAGCTCCCACTGATGAAATGCTGAGTTCTGGAAGCCAATAGGTGACAATCTGTGTCACAGTAATGAAACCAACCTTTTCACACGTTGGTTAGAACTTGCAAGGGTTCCAATTGGAGAATAGCCTCTACCCAAGGCGTCATGGACTTCGAAGAAGCACAAACTCAGGGTGAAAGGGAGTAATGAGCTAAGACAGGGGTTGGCAACCTAATGCCCACAAGCGGCCCATGGGGGTCGTTTAACCGGCCCATGCACCCCCGCTACCTGCTTGGTCGGCTCCCGTGTGCTGCGCTAAACCGGTGCGGAGCAGAGCAGGGACTGCCTTCCACGATGCTGGTCGGCTTCCCATTGGCTGCAGGAAGCTCCTGCAGCCAATAGGAAGTTGTGCACGCCTCCTCTGCACCAGAAGGAGCACCAGAAACTGTTTGTGCATGTGTGTGCACACACTCCAGCCCACCATGGTGTCTGTGGGACCGTGAACCGGCCCAAGCCACAAAAACTTTGCCGACCCCTGAGCTAAGAGGTAGGTACATTTGGCAAATCCTCACCGTGATCAACCATGATTGGAAGACAATCTTACTCAGCTACAAGTGATCACCGAAGAAGAAGAACCAGCTGCATGTGTGTGATTAGAGGTCATTAAACTCATTAATAAAAGAAAAATGGGTTGTGTTGTGAACAACCTAGGAGAGCTGGATGCAAACCATTGTGGCTCTCATATGCAAGCATATTTATTCAGACTCTCATTCTCTGAATGAGAACCAAACATCACTGAACTGAAATGCAATGCCCACCATTCAGAACGATACATAACGCATCCCTCGTCTTTTTCTATATACCAGTCACTACTTACTAGCTAATTTGCATGATATGTTGAGATGGTGGTTCTTAAGTGCACAGCTCATTACTTAATTGTTACGACTGACAGGTACTGTGATCGACTGATAAGGAAGTTCAACAAAAGAGCTGAGCTGCAGTCATCGTTTCACCTAACCAAGCTACAATGTGATGGCTGCAATTATTACATGTTAAACAGCACCATGTGAACCAGCTCTTAGCATCCTCACTGGTGAAAGAGGGGCTAACTGCCCCATAGAAAATATTTTCAGGATCAATCAGCAGGTGGCTTGAAAATGGCATTCAGAGTGAGAGCGGAGTTCACATTCAACGCCAGTACAGGGCAGCTGCTGGTGGGCCCCTTTGTGCCAGCAAAGCTCACTAATGGTGCCCACTATATGGCCCCTTGCACTGACCATCTGTGTGACCTTTTGCACCTAGTAAGAGGCACAAACCGGGAGTAGGGAGCAGAGCTAGCCTACCAGGTGGCCGCACATCCCTCTTCACCTGTTGTTTCAAGATTGTTGTTGTTCTTTAGTCATTTAGTCATTTAGTCGTGTCGTGACCCCATGGACCAGAGCACGCTAGGCACTCCTGTCTTCCACTGCCTCCTGCAGTTTGGTCAAACTCATGCTGGTAGCTTCAAGAATACTGTCCAGCCATCTCATCCTCTGTCATCCCCTTCTTGTGCCCTCCATCTTTCCCAACATCAGGGTCTTTTCCAGGGAGTCTTCTCTTCTCATGAGGCGGCCAAAGTCTTGGAGCCTCAGCTTCATGATCTGTCCTTCCAGTGAGCACTCAGGGCTGATTTCCTTCAGAATGGAGAGGTTTGATCTTCTTACAGTCCATGGGACTCTCAAGAGTCTCCTCCAATACCGTAATTCAAAAGCATTAATTTTTCGGTGATCAGCCTACTTTATGGTCCAGCTCTCACTTCCATACATCACTACTGGGAAAACCAAGACCTTTGTTGACAAGGTGTTGTCTTTGCTTTTTAAAATGCTGTTTCAAAATGGTTGAGCACAAAAATGGCAGCATAGTCAAAAAGACCTGCTTCCCAGTACACCAAATGCAGCTGTGGGAACCCAGGGAAGGGCTTCATCAGACCTGCAAAAGGAGCGGTGCCCCATCTGGGTGTTATTGCTCTGGTGGGGGGGGCAGTGGGGTTTCCTAAGGCAGTGTGGAGAGGTAAGGGAGAGGCAGGAAGGCGCTGGAGGGGTAAATGACCACCAGACTTTGAAAAGCTGGTACCACTGGGTCCAGTTAATTCATTTTGTTGATGTAATTAAACTAAAATTGGATTTTGAATAAATGGTGCAATTGATTGTTACTGCTTTGAATTTCATTGTGTTGTTATCTTCCTCAGTGTGTCAAGCAAACCACTACTCTGAATGGTGGGGTTTTTTTATAGGGTAGGAGGCACTGGGGATGAGTTTATGGAACCAATCGGGCAGCAAATGAAAAGTTTGGGAACCATTGTTCTAAAGCATGGGCACGTTCATATGGGAGTAAGCAGTTCTTGAGGTTCTTTGATTTTAAACCATATGGGGCAGTCTTCTTCAACCTGGTGCCCTCCCAATATTTTGGACTACAAGTCCCATCAGCATAATGCTGGCTGGGGCTGATGGGAGTTGTAGTCCAAAATATTGGTAGGGCACCAGATTTGCTGAGGCTGCTAAACAACCTTATAGATACATGTCTATTTGCACTTTTGCTTTCTTATTGAATCCCTCTGGGACAGATGCACGTGAAAACACGTCAGCTCAAAGAAATGCAATTTTTTAAAGAGGCAATTCTGACTTTGTCATTTGCATTGTCATTTTGTTTTGTTTGTAATTATCTCTGATTGCAGGACCAATGCCTTAACCCCCAACCAGCTCTCCCGCCCTGACTGCCCACACCTTCTCCGCACGTCGCGCCGCGGCTGACATTGAACTTCCAACAACCCGGACTGAGAAGACTGCCAAAAGAATAATAAAAACCTCCAGCTATTCTTCTTCATCCTCACTAACAATTTGGTAATGAAGTATTGATTTCCACTCCCCTGCTTATGGACGATATTAGATTTTCATTGATAAACTGCAGCGAGGCTGTCTGGTCTCCACTGTCCCCTTCTGCTGTCACTAAAACAAAGTACCACTGAAGTAGGATAATGACTGAAAACATTGATGTACTTATTTTGTCAATTTGTAACACTCGACAGGAAAGGGGTGGGTGGGAAGTATAATTCTTCATCGTTTAATGTCCAAGCGTGCTCCACAAGATGCAGTCACACTGGAAGGTTTGCTTTTCATGGTAATCTCTGTTTCCTATTTATAACCCCTTTGGGATAGTTTGTCTAAAGGAAATGTTTCAACTCCGTGCAGCTATTAGTAGTGCACCTGGGCTGCCCAATCCAGTCATGGCACTAGGGATCAATACATCACCGTAAGCAGAAGAATTATTAAGTTAAAACAGATCCCGAGCCAAAAAAACTCGGAACAGCGTTAATCTTCCCAGCAAGTTGTTCCAATAGTTGCGGTTAACCCTGTTGTTGCCAAAGATTTGTTGAAAACTGATTGTTCCTCCAGCTCTTTTATTCACATTGTCTTTGCTTTCTTTTTTTAATTTAAGCATCGTCATATTTCTGTATTTCAAGGTGTATGCAATGAAACTTTTGCCCTCCAAACAAACGAAAATGAGAAAGGGTGTGTTTTTAACATGTGTATCGACGGCTCAAACCTTTTCCCAGCTTTTATCAATGCAAGAACAAACAGCTCACTTGTTGTCAAGACTATTATGGATACTTAGTAATGCAAAGACCCTAAGAAACACTATCTCCTGTTACCTATTTTTAAAATTCCAGCTCATTTTCCAAAGGAGCTAAATTGCCTTGAAAAAGAGGCAGAAGGAAACATTCTGTTTAAAAATGGTTCTTTTAACTTTTTCCCCCCCCATTAAAACTTTTGAGGTTCCGATTTTAATTTGTGGAATATTCACGTTAATAATGAGATCTAATTAAGACATCCATTAAAAGCCCGTTAAAGTTAATTTAACGTAAAAATTCCAATAGAACTGTATTAGATTTTCTCCATTAAATTAACGTTATGGATTTTTAACGGATGTCTTAATTATATGTTATTATTAACAGGAATACTGTATTACACAGATTAAAATTGGGTTCTATGTCAACTCACGGATAGCTTCCAAGACGTTTTAATGGTGAGCGCTCCCCATCACCCAGTACATTGTTTGTAGGGGTTAAATACAGGCACAAGCTCCTTTTCTCCAGCTAAGCATTTTCTATACAAAGCCAGCCTTTAAGAGACAATCTGTCTGTGCATTTAAAGAATGGGTTTTCATATCCTTAAAGGAGAAATAAGACTGCATTGAGTCATAAATTGCTACTCAAAATATAAAGAGGGGCATACACTAGGCATAAAACTGAAAGTGTTTTGGGGGAGAAAGACAGAATTCTTGGAGGAATAAAAGCAGTACAAGCTAAAGCTAAAATAAAATGGAATCCTGAACAAACATAGGCTGGAATCTGTTTAGTGTTTCCTCCAGTTTGTGAGAACAGAAAAATCTGACATCAGAATTGTCTGAGAAATTTTGACATGATCCCTAAACTCAACATGGAAGCAAGGAGGGGAGGGGGGGAGAGGGAAAAAAATTCCCTTCTTATTTACCTCCTAGGGAAAGTGTTGCCCTTATGCCACATATAATAGCAAATTGCTTTTTTTATGGCATGCATAACCTAGATGGGAAAAAATATGGCGCTTGAGGGAAGGAGGGGAAAAGTAAATGAAGTTCCAGGAATGTCATTCTGAAGTAATGAGGCATGGACAGAAAATATACCCCTCACATCATCGGATTGAGATGGCAGTCGAAATAGCTTCATTGAAGTGTCAGCACTCATCCATCAATCAATCATCCACAAGGAAAAATAGCGACAGTACAACGGGGCAGCTTTTATGGGATTTACTCATGGGCATAGGGAATAGCAGCTCAAATGTAGTTCTGACATGAAAAGCAAGGTGCTGATATTATTTTTTATGATGGGAGGATCATAAAGTGAATTGAGAACAGTGAGGTCTGTCTTTGCTTAACCTATTCAACTGGAAACAAACGGAGCTCAACTGGAAACGTACAGAGCCTTCGGATGGGTTAAGATTGAAGCATGCAGGCGCTGCGGCAGGCCACCGGCCATTGACAACGAAATTCTATTAAAGCCCAAATCGATGCATTAGTGCTGGGCTCCTCTGAAGCTGTTAAATTGCACCAAGCCCAGCCTGGGATTATTAAATGAAGTTACGTAATGGGTAGCTCTGCAATGCTGTGAGGCCTGGAGGGTGGTGGGGGGTGCAGGCGGGCAGGGAGAGGGGGAATAAGAAGCAACACATTTCAGTTTGGGGGAGAAGCGGTGCCCATTTCCAATGCAAAAGGCCTCCCCTCTCGTCCTCTCGGCAGAAGCTGATTTTGGAGCCACAAGAACGGCTTTGCAAGGACCGCCAGCCTGGCTTTGAACGGCACACCAAAACCGAGCCCGTTCTGTTTGTTGCTCAGTATTCCATGAGCAGCTTATTGTGCAGAACGAGGGTTCAATTCAGCAGGGAGATGTTATGAGCAAGCGCCACCGAAACTAATGGGATTTGCACAAGAGCACTTGTATGGAGCCCTGGAGCACAGCAGCTGGCTGAGAGAACGAGCTACAAATCAGGATTCCCTGGCTCAGGTCTTGCCTTTGCCATGAGATCACTAGATGGCCCCCAAGCTGGTCTCCCTTGGCCTCAGTCCCTGCATCAACAAAATGGGGATAATGAGACTGACCTGCTCTATAGGTTTCTTGTAAGGATTACAGCAAGTTAATGTAAGCTATGTGCTTTCAACACTCTAAGGCACTAGATAAATGCCAAGTATTATTGTTATTATTGAATGATTAACAGCGCTCTCATGTGCAGCCCCTGCTCACTTCCAAAATAACTTCCTGCTGGATTGCACCCTAGATTTGCAAATAGTGGATGTGTTTTAAGAGTGGAAAAATTACCTTCTGCTTAACATCATCAGCCATTTTTAACAGCTCGGACACCAGCTTCTGTCATTTGCAGAGCAATCGTCAATGCAGAAAACCACTGACCTTGTGAAAAGCTCCCATGTTGCTTTAGTGGGCATGAAGCTGTCCAGACTGAAATGAATCGGTGGAAACCAGATGCAAAATTCTCTGAAATCTTGGGAGAATCTTTTTAAAATTCCATGGACTCAGGAATTAGGGATCACAGTTCTGCTTATGCAGGTAAACAATGGGCAGATACTTTCAGGTACAGTATTATGTACACCTTTCGCATTGTACTCCAATATGACATTCTGGGTTAATAGCTACTAGGTGTAATTCTCTTTGTGTGGCGGCCCATTTGGCAGCTGGATAATGCCTACTTTTATTTTTTACTTAACTCTATAAAGTTTGTAGTCCTGGTGGCTTCAGAAAATGTTAAGCAGTGTCTAAGAAATTAATAGAACTCCATTTGTTCATTCCACTGCATTGATGGTGGTGAGGGAACAACTGCATACTGCTCCTTCAGGGACAAGACACCATGATTTAATGATCTTGGAACTGGGAAGACCCAAGGTCAAAACCCAGGTAACCAAAAAATCTTACTGGGACACCTTGGGCCGATCGTTCTCTTGCAACCAACCTACCTCATAGGATTGTTGAGAGGATATAAAGAGAAGGAACCCTTCACGCTGCCCTGAGCTTCTTGGAGGAAGGATGAGATATCAAAAATGCAATGCAGTAATACATAATAATATTATAAGAAGACTTAAAATATAAGAAGGCTGTATAGGAAGAGAACATGTGATTCCTCCCAGTGCCAGCGTTATCTCGGTTGTTGTTGTTGTTGTTGTTACTACTGCTTAATGCGAAAATAGGTGTTTAAGCAGTTTGCAAGACTAAAAACCAAACATGCAAGCATCAAAATATAAAATCCACAATTAAAGTACGCAATAAAACAATGCCCTTAAAATGTAAACACCCATCTGTAAAATACACAAAGCAAACCCCATTAAAACATTTAAAAATATTTACATCCAAAATTAAAATATGCAGCTCAGGTGGCGAATCACCACACCCACTGCTATTCACAGTGGGATCAAAGCCTTCATGGGTGCCACTGCAAATAGCAGCCACTAGGAGGAATGATTCTGCATTGGGACCATGGCAGCAGCAAAGGGTTAAAGCCTCCTCTCCTTATGTTGTGGTTGTGACTCAGCTTGCCCCCCCCACCCCTTTCCACCAACTATTCATTACTTAGAAACAAATGACCCAAAGGCAAAACTAGGGCTTTAGTTTTTGAGGCTTGTCGGGAAGTCTTTGAAACCTTTGAAATCTCTTGTACATGGGTGGAGCCAAAGGATTTGCACAGGCAGCCTCCATGCCAGTTACAACACCACCCACTGCCAGACCATCATGGTTTGGTGGCCTTGGTTGTTTGGCATGCATCCTCAGTGAGGACACAAAGGTAGAGCAGTTGGAGTCCTTGTATGCGCCTCAAAAGAAGATACACAGGTAGGATTAAACTCTCAGAACTCATTGAAAAGCTGTCTACAAATTACAATATTGCACTATTAAACTCTGATAATTTTGCCTACGTTGCTCTCCTCTGGGAACATTTTAGGGAAACATTTGAATTAAGTGAGAATACACACACACACACACACACACACACACTCCCCATCCCCCATCTTGGTATATAAATCTGGATGAGCTGATAGTTTATCCATCATATAAATCAGGTAACACACACACAAAAAAAATCATTGCCTCTTTTCTCTGTTGCCTGGCCTCAATATTATCACCCTGACTTTTATTTTCATTGGATACCATCAAAACATTAATTAAAAAACCAGTGATCAAACAGCCGAATATTTATGATTTGCATCCCTGCTTATTAACAAGTGCCATATTGATACACTGTATATCCAAGCTGTTTACTCTCCCACACTGCAATAAAGCAGAAGGAATTGTCATCATCACCTACAGCCTGGAAAGATTTACTTGGAAACATGAGCTCCGTTGTTTTTGTTTTTTTACTGGCAGTGCATGAAAGAAAAAGGTGGGAAATGGAAGATTTAAGTTATGCCTTTCCCCCTTTACCACGTATCTTTTCTGTAGGTGAGATGGACTTGACCAGTTTGCTGTGGACAGGTTCCTACTGGGCCAAGCTGCTCAGTGCTCCTCCAGTGCTCAGCGCTCTGGTTTAGAGCGCAAAAGTCCGATGACCTACCTAACGCAGCCTTTCTCAACCTGTGTGTCCCCAGATGTTGTTGAGCTACAACTCCCATCACCCCTAGCTAGCCAAGCCCGAGCTCAGGGATTATGGGAGTTGTAGTCCAGCAACATCTAGGGACCCACAGGTTGAGAATCGCTGAGTCCTAACCAGTGCTCACTAGTCAGTGCAATCTCATGTGCACATCTGTATATGCTTGCTGCAAAAGAAAAGCTCCAAGATAACTCAAGGCGAAGATGGGTATAACATCTGCAGAGCAGTATCATATACAGTGGTACCTCGGGTTACAGACACTTCAGGTTACAGACGCCTCAGGTTACATACTCCGCTAACCCAGAAATAGTACCTCGGGTTAAGAACTTTGCTTCAGGATGAGAACAGAAATAGTGCGGCGGCGGCACAGCAGCAGCGGGAGGCCCCATTAGCTAAAGTGGTGCTTCAAGTTAAGAACAGTTTCAGGTTAAGAATGGACCTCCGGAACGAATTAAGTTCTTAACCCGAGGTACCACTGTATCTACAAACGCTTCCACTGCAGCCACATAGCGTGAGTTCCCGGAGCCTGGGGTAGGCGCACACATGCCGGAGGGGTGCGCATGCACGCACCGGGGAGTGGGCGGGTGCACCAGGGGGTACGTGCGCACTGGGAAGGCAGGGTATGGAGCGTGAAGGATCCCATCATGGCTGCTCAGCCCTCGCCGCTGACACGGCTGGAGCGGCCCCACCCCGCACCAGAGCCAAGCAGAGCAGTGCTGTACCACCTGGGGAAACCCAGTCAGCCAACGCGGCACATGGCAGGTGTGAACCAGGCACCCCCATGCCAGTGCCCCCAGCATGGCCCAGCTTGCGGTGCCCAGAACTGGACACAGTATTCCAAGTGTGATCTGACCAAATTCAGAATAGAGTGGTACTATTACTTCCCTTGATTGGGACGCTATACTTCGGTCGATACAGCCTAGAATAGCATTAGCTGTTTTTTGTTGTTCTGCTGCATCACACTGATGACTTGTGTTAACCAGTATTTGGTTCTCCCTGCACAAATAGTCAAAGAAAATGAGATCATAATAAGTTATCTCGTTCTTTTGCCGTTTTCCCTAGTTTTGCACGTCATAAGGATGGGCACTAATGTCCCATCCTATGACTCCTGGGTACCTATGTTCAAAGGAACATAGGAATCTGCCTCCAACATACCCTCCAACATTTCTCCAATGAAAATAGGGACGTCCTATTCCATAATGATAATTTTACTATTTACACCCCACACATCTTACTGGGTTGCCCCAGCCAATCTCGGCAGCTTCCAACATATATAAAAACATTATAAAACATTAAACTTTTTTTTAAAAAAGACCTCCCTATACAGGATTGCTTTCAGATGGCTTGAGGGTCAGATAACACCATACCCTCCAACATTTCTCCAATGAGAATAGGGACATCCTAAGGAAAAAGCAGAACGTTCCGGGATCAAATCAGAAACTGGGATGGCTTCTCTGAATCAAGGACGTCTCTACAAAATAGGGGCACTTGGAGGATCTACACTGACTGGCAGAGGCTTTCCAGGGTTGCAGGCCACAAGTGTCTCCTTGCCCTACCTGCAGGTGCCAGAGGTTGAACCTGGAGACTTCTAAACTCAAGGCAGATGCTCTACCACAGAACTACAGCCCCTTCTCCAAAGGGCAGCTAATCCAATCTTATGCCAAAGCAGAAATCTGCTGTTATGGCATTCCTGACAGGTGGCCACTCGGCCACTGCTTAAAAACTGCCAATGAAAGACAGTACACCACCTCCTGAGGCAGTCTGTCCCACTGTCAAACAAATTGTACCATCAGATGTTCTTCTGAACCTTTGACCAAAATGCCCTGGTTCTTGTCATTTGAACCTTGTTTAGGTGGGGAGTGGGGAGTGAGTGGTGCTGTGGTCTAAACCAGGGATGTCCAACCAGTAGATCGCGATCTACTGGTAGATCCCTGGCTGATCCTGGTAGATCGTGGAATCCTTATTGTGTACAAAAATTTACGGGGGAGAGGCTAAAAAACTGTGCAGTCCTCCCCCCAAAAAGTTTAACAACTCTGGACACCTCCCTCCTAAAAAAAGCTCAACTGGGCAATCCACCCACTCCACACATGCTCCTCCTCCCTCCAATGACAATGGGAAGATCACTGCCAGTTTTTTTATACTAGGAGTAGATCACAGTCTTTTGGGAGTTGGACATGCCTGGTCTAAACCACTGAGCCTCTTGAGTTTGCCGATCGGAAGGTCGGCAGTTTGAATCCCCGCGACACAGTGAGCTCCCGTTGCTCTGTCCCAGCTCCTGCCAGTGCAAGTAGATAAATAGGTACTGCTGTGTCAGGAAGGTAAACGGCATTTCCATGTGCTCTGGCTTCCATCACAGTGTCCCATTGTGCCAGAAGCAGTTTAGTCATGCTGGTCACACGACCCGGAAAGCTGTGGACAAACGCCAGCTCCCTCGGCCTGAAAAGCGAGATGAGCACTGCAACCCCATATTTGCCTTTGACTGGACTTAACTGTCCGGGGGTCCTTTACCCTTTTTTTACCTTACCCACAGGAGAAACAGAAAACAAACTTGCTCCAGGCCTTCAGATATTTGAAGGTGGCTGTCCTCGGTGGATTTTTTCTGGGGGGTACACAGGGGTACGCATACCCCTAAACATTTTGCGAATCTAAGTTTGGCCTCATTGAGGGGCAGTATTTCAATATGAGTAGGAAAATGAGAGTACCCCTAAACTTTTTTTTTTAGGGGGGGAAATGCACTGGCTGTCTTTATTGTCTCTTCTGCCCCATGGTCAACTCCTCCAACCTTTCTGTGTTGGTCTTGGCCATCCCTACCATTAGTCAAAGTGAGGAAACCTTCTCAGGCAGCAGACTCATCATTCCTCACAGACTACCTGGCCACCCTCAAGTTCCTTTGTCGGTGTGGAAGTGGCATTCAACTGCCAACCTAGTCAGCTACAGTATGTGGAGTAGGAGATGCCTCAGGCAGCAAAATAATAATAATAATAATAATAATAATAATAATAATAATAATAATATTTTTACCCCGCCCATCTGGCTGGGTTTCCCCAGCCACTCTGGGCGGCTTCCAACAGAACACAAAAATACAATAACCTTTTAAACATTAAAAGCTTCCCTAAACAGGGCTGCCTTCAGATGTCTTCTAAAAGTTTGGTAGTTATTTTTCTCTTTGACATCTGGTGGGAGGCCATTCCACAGGGTGGGTGCCACTACCGAGAAGGCCCTCTGCCTGGTTCCCTGTAACTTAGCTTCTCGTAGCGAGGGAACCACCAGAAGGCCCTCGGTGCTGGACCTCAGTGTCCGGGCAGAATGATGGGGGTGGAGACACTCCTTCAGGTATACTGGACCGAGGCTGTTTAGGGCTTTCAAGGTCAGCACCAACACTTTGAATTGTGCTCAGAAACATACTGGGAGCCAGTGTAGGTCTTTCAGGACTGGTGTTATGTGGTCTCGGCAGCCGCTCCCAGTGACCAGTCTAGCTGCTGCATTCTGGATAAGTTGTAGTTTCCGGGTCACCTTCAAAGGTAGCCCCACATAGAGCGCATTGCAGTAGTCCAAGCGAGAGATAACTAGAGCATGCATCACTCTGGCGAGACAGTCTGCACTCTGAAATGCCTACAGCTGGCCCTGACTTGCTTTCCAGGTGCCCTTCACCATCTAAGAGCAAAATAGTATCCCTGTTTTCATTGTAAAATATTCAAAGGTATGTAGGTATTCTTTGTCAGAAGAAGAAGAAGAATTTAGATTTGATATCCCGCTTTATCACTCCCCTTCAGGAGTCTCAAAGCGGCTAACATTCTCCTTTCCCTTCCTCCTCCACAACAAACACTCTGTGAGGTGAGTGAGGTTGAGAGACTTCAAAGAAGTGTGACTGGCCCAAGGTCACCCAGCAGCTGCATGTGGAGGAGCGGAGACACGAACCCGGTTCCCCAGATTACGAGTCCACCGCTCTTAACCACTAAACCACACTGGCTCAACCTTTCATAGTAGCTCCAAAGATATTCCTAAACTCAATTCATGTACACACACTCAAACACACACACACATACACACACACACACACACACACACACACACACACTTCAAGCCCTTAGGTTGTTAAAATCCATATCTGGCGCTAGTTTTTGCACTTACTACTACTGCAGAATTTACGAAGCCCTGCTTATGTGACAATGTATTCATTATTTTAAAAGCGTGTTCAAGATTAACACATCTTGTTTCCTTTGAAATCTGAAAGGATATTAAAAGACATTCTGAAAATCAATAAGTTAACATATTAATGCTTCCCCAAAAGCATTTACAGGAGAACACTGTTAGTCAAAGATATTTCCAGCAATATAAATGAAGGAGAGCTATCTTTTTTCTTTATTACTTAACAATAAATAAAGCGCCATATGTACTAAGATATTACTTAACAATAAATAAAGCACCATATGTACTGGGATATAAATACTCTAAGCAAAATTAGACTTATACAGCAAATGTTAATTTCACCTTCCCACACAAATGGATAAAAAAAAATCCATCAACAAGAAAAACGTATATATAAGTAAAGTCATTTCAAAAACTGCTTTAAAACTTATTTCCCTTTAGAATAGATGAGTGAAAATACATGTGATTCCTTGATGTAAGGGTATTTGCATAGTCTGACACATGATGTTGACAATTTGCATTTTAGCATACTAATGAACCTTTTACCTTTCTGAATTCCAACTTCTGTTGCCATTAAATAATTTTTGTCTGACCCCTTCGTTTCCCAGACTTCTGAAAGTTTCAGTAGATGAAAAGACTGGAGGGGAAATCTTCAAAGCTGTAATTTTCTGACAACAAGAGAACGGATGTTAATTTTAAAAAATGATTACCAACAAACATTATATTTAGATTTTTTTAAAAAAAATCTTCCAAGCACCCAATCAAACAAGAAATTAATATTTGCAAAAAGGAGGTTGAAATCTAGTGAGCCATAGCTTATTTTTCCAGAGCGCTTGGCTCTGGAACTACATGTGCCTCAAGGTGTAAGTTTCAATATTGCAAAACATCATTTGTTGTTTAAAGCACATGACTTCCCCAAAAGAATCCTGGAAAATGTAGTTTCTCCAGGGCACTGGGGAACAGAGCTCTGTGAGGGGTAAAACACATTTCCCAGGATTCTTTGGGGCAGGCAATGTGCTTCAAATGTGAGTTGGATGGGCGTTAAATGCATGGTGTGAATCTGCCCAGCAACAACAACAATCTAAGGACTAGAATGGGGAGGATGAGAACTCAGGAATAGAGTACATATTTTGAGGGCAGAAAGCATCAAGTTCAGGTGGTAGCATCTCCAGTTAAAGAATCAGGAGCCAGACAATAGTTAGGACTCTTGCATGAGAGACCCCTGGGGAATTGCTGCCTGTAGTGGTTAGAGTGTCAGACTAGGAGCTGGGAGACCTGGGTTCAAATCCCCCATTGGGTGGCCCTTGGGCCAGTCAATGCCTCAGAGCCTAATTAACCTCATGGGGTTGTTGTGGGGATTAAATGAGATGGGGGAGAACAGCGTACGCCACCTTGAACTCCTTGGAGGAAAAGGTGCAATATCAAGGCAATAAATGAATAAATAAGGTTGCAGAAACCTCGGGATCCAACCGGACCTCTGGAACAGATCTCGTCCGCAACCGGAGGTACCACTGTAATTAATAATAATAATAATATATTAACAACAGCAACAACAACAGCAGCAACAACAACAACAGCAACAACAACAACATTATGAAGGTTGTAAAGCAGGTTGGTGTACCTATTGAATATGACTCATTAATTCTAGTTACTATCTCAAGGCTTTGGTGTCTGGAACTCATTGAGCACTCAGGACTGCTAAATCCAGTGTAGGCATTCTTATTGTTTCACTGGAAAGTCTCATAGTCAAGCTGTTCGAGTTGCAATCTGCAATCCCCCAAAGAACAGGACTGAAAACTCAACGTTGACAGAAGAATAAAAATAATTATGATTCAACAGAATTATCTCAAGATTATGCTTTACCTTTTGCAATTAAAAATATATATTTAAATTCCCGAGAAGATGATGACGTAAGGGCAGGACTATCTTTACAGCAGAATTTTGAAAACACACAGTCAAATGCTGTGAGGCTTTTTTCTTTTTTTAAATGCAGTTGGTTTTAATCCTTTTTTCCTTGCATCCCAGAAAAAAGAGACTAGCAAAGGCAAAAGTTGAATGACTTCTGGTTCAAGCCCACTAAAGCGTTTGGGAGCTGAACCCATGGGCTGACAGATGTTGTCAGACTACAACTTCTATCATCCCTAGCCATAGGTGGTGCTGGCTGGGTCTGATGGGAGCTGGAGTCAACAACATCTGGAGAGGCAAAGGTTCCCTACCCCTTCTGTAGCATTCAATGTCATTTGTGGCAGCCGAATAAATGTTTGCTGATACATTCTGCAGCCGATGGGCTGATGTGGGCTGGAGAGGAATATGTAGGGGTATTCTCACATTGGCTTCAATGACTGTACAGTCCTTGTACCTGTGTACACAATAGCTGAGCTCTCCAAACGAACAAGTGTGCCCTTTTTATTTCACACAAACACGTGCAGAAACAGCTTGTGCCTGTGTTCAGCGTAACCTGTGAGCAGCATTACCTTCAA